CTTCTGTCAACACTCACCTCCTGGACAATAGAGTCATCAGAATTATAAACAGAACCTTCATCAGACAGTGCTTCATCCAGAGCCTGGGTCACAGATGGAGGACTAGAACTTGCAGCCTCAGCTGGCTGCGTCACAGATGGAGGTCTGGATCTTGGAGCCTCAGCTGGCTGTGTCACAGATGGAGGACTGGAGCTTGGGTCCTCCACTGGCTTTTTCGTGGTTTCCAGGAAAATGGTCACAGGTTTGCCTTCAACCACCATCTGGTGCTCTCTCTTTTTCAGTACTTTCTCCTTAGCTTCAGGGGAGACATGAAACACACACAGTCACACGGAAATGAGAGGGAACTTACAGATGACCCCCAGTGTCCTCTCTTGGTCGATTCTAGGAACTTCTGAAGGCACCAAATCCAGAGTTGTCCCTTATAGGTTTAGGACTTTCACACAAGTTACCCATATTCTATGAGGTTTTTGTTTGCTTGCTTATTTTTTAAAGATGTATTTATTACGTGTCTAGTGTTCTGCCTGCATGTATGCTTGCTAGAAGAGGGCACCAGATCTCATAACAGATGGTTGTGAGTCACCACACACACCGGGACTTGAACTCAGGACCTCTGGAAGAGAAGCCAGTGCTCTTAATCTCTGAGCCATCTCTCCAGCTCTGATTTTTTGTTTTTGAGATATAGTCATACTTCGTAGTCCTTGCTTCCCTGGAACTCCCTATATAGACCAGGCTGGCCTTGAACTCACAGATATCTGCCTGTCTCTGCCTCCAGAGTCCTGGGATTAAAGTCCTGTGCCTGCACACATGGCCCTCAATACACTTTTAAGAATCTCTAGATGGCTTTAATCTCTCACACAAGGTAAACACTATGGAAATACATGTTATGTTGTATTGTTTAGTTGGATGAACCCTAGGATATAGGACTGTTGTCTAAATTTCCTCAAGATTGAAACATTCTATCCTGCAGGAACGTTCCTAAAGCCAGAAGGTAAACAAGTTAAATAGGCTGCAGGAAGTCCCTGAATCTGACCAGATTCACTAGGTTCTTCCCTGCTAGAGTAATCAATAAAGACTGCTGAGAGCCCCTCTGAGACTGGCAGGACAGAGCTGCAAGGAATACTCAGAAAAGCAGCACTGCAGAGGAGGCTCTCTGACAAGCCAAGTTGCAAGGAGACCAAGACCATACATCTGCCTGGAAGAAACAGAAACCTGCAGAGCCACTTGGAGGAGGTTTAGATCCACTGAGGCACCTAAAAAGGATACTCTCCCAGTTGCTGAGCTGCCTACGGCCTATGCAATGTGCTTCAAGTTCCCAACTTTGTGAGACATTACCCATGCTGACCTGGACTTTGGTGATGCAGCTGTCTTTGAGTCATTTCTGTTCCTGTAAGTAACCCCTCACCCATACTCCTGTAAGAAACCTCAATAAGCCGGGTTGTGGCAGCACACACCTTTAATCCCAGCACTTGGGAGGCAGAGGTAGGCGGATCTCTGTGAGTTCAAGGCCAGCCTGGTCTGGTCTACAAGAGCTAGTTCCAGGACAGCCTCTAAAGCTACAGAGAAACCCTGTTTAAAAAAACCAAACAAACAAACAAACAAAAAAAACAGAAAAAGAAAGAAAGAGAAAAAGAAAAAAGAAAAGAAAAGAAAGAAACCTTAATAAAAGTCATTAATTCACCATCTTGGGCTTTGGTAGGATCCTTCCTTTGGTCTGTTGTGGGCTCCTTATCTTAGGTGAGTGGAAATGTGTGTTGTGTCTCCCCAGGAAGAGTTTTGTGTCCCAATAAAAACAGAGGACCTGAGCAGTTGTGTCTGGCATTCTGGAATAGCAGGATATTGATGGGGAAAAGTTATCTGGAACTCAAAAATAGACAGCTTAAGTTTTACTGTAGAACATCATTTGGTTATTAGAAGCCATGTTTCTAGTCTGGGTCTGGTGGTATGCACTAATAATCCTAGCACTTTAAGGGTAGAGGTAAGGGTAAGGGGATCACAAGCCCAAGGCCAGTCAAGAGGATGTAGCAAGACGTCACCTGTCTCAAAGTGGTGAGGGCAAGTCTATGCTTCTGAATTGGTCTTAAACTCTCATCTCAATGACAAAGAATGATATTGTATAGTTATGTAGGTAAATCCCTGCCAAACTAATAACCCAAAAGTTCAGAATGAATTAAATGTATATACAATAGCTGTTTCACAGAAAAGAATACATGATAATATTCCCATTGTGCATCTCCAAGGAATTTTTCTTTTGACTTTTTTTTTTTAAGTGATCATAAATTACTTTTGTAATCCTTAAAAAACAAGTCAATGGGCTGGGCGGTGGTGCATGCGTCTTTAATCCCAGATGTGATTAGCGCCTACAACAAGGGCTAGTTCCAGAACAGCTAGGGCTGTTAGACAGAGAAACCCTGTCTCGAAAAACCACTTTCTCCCCAACAAGCAAATAATAACAAACAAACAAACAAATCAGTGGAACCATTATTTACAACAGAAAAGTGTTTTGGGTGTAGCTCAGTTGGTGGAGCTCTTGCCAGGCTAGCACAGGACTCTGGGTTCCCGCCCAGATCCCCACCCCCACACTTCCCTTTCTCCTCTCCAGTCGGACTGCAGGGAAAATTGGCAACCTCAGCTAAAGGAAACTATCCCTAGGAAGCAGCCAAACCAAGTCAGGGGCTGGGCACATCTAAGGCTCTGTCCCCCACTGTGGAATGGAGAAAGTCTTGTAGGCGGCAGCGGCTCCCACAGGCAGTGCCACACTCCCGTGGGCTCTCCTTGGAAGCAGTGCCACACTCCCGTGGGCTCTCCTTGGAAGCTGGCCCGGTTCTGCTGTCCCGACTCACCTGCCCTTTCTAGGAAGTTCACCTGGAAGGTGTTGGGGGCGCTGGGGCCCACGGGCAGGACACTGCACTCCCCGCCTTCCGAGGCCCGGCTCTGGAAGTATATCTCTAGTTTCCTGTGGGCCCAGGAGATGGACTCAGGCAGGCGCACGAGTAGCGGGGAAGGCGGGCAGGGACTGGAAGCCATGGCTGTCGGCGTCTTGCTCGCTAGCGGCTCAGGGACTTTGTACAGTCCCGACAGAGCAAAGATTTATTTTGCCCCAGAAACCCCGGCTGCAAGGTTTCAGTTTCGTTTCCCAGGAGGTCCCTCCCTGTTCCCCTCAGAGCCACCTCCTTTCTTTCCCTGCGGTCTCCTAGGGCCGTCGCTCCGGTAAGTAGTTTGTACTTCGGGCGGTGGGCTCTTGGGGGAAGTAATTTCTCCAGGGTCCCAGGTCGTCTTCTTCCTTTCCAAGATCGGAAGAGTGACAGGAACCGGGATCCCAGGACCAGACCTCCTAAGGGAGGGTGCAGCAGAGTAGAAGGATAAAAAGTTTTTTTTCATGTTTGTGCTCTTTGAAACTATATTGTTTGGATTAATATTTCCTGAGATGCGATTCTGAATTCAATTTATAGTTATTAGTTTTCATAGAAATTGAGGGCGTTTACCTGGTTGGTGACCTGTTAGATGGGTACTTAGGAATTTTTTGCTCTGGGTCCTAAAATAAGCAAGCAGCACAGATCTGCTTGCTGTCCAGAATCCCCAGAGAGTGAGGTGGAGAGGCACCTGACCACAAGAGTTGGTACCTGTTAACAAAGCAAAAGCCAAGGCCTCCAAGAGTTGGTTTCAAGCCGAATCTTAAAGTGAGGTGGGGGAGGGGAGGAGAGTACCCCAGACTGGGAGAGCTGTACTCTGAAGTCCCTGAGGGCTTAGTCTCAAGCCTGGGAACAGATGAGTTGGATCACGGAGTGGATGAAGAAGGTTCTTTTAGATCTACAGTGTCAGCAGAAATGCCGTGGAGAATATGTGTTAACTGTTAATCGTGATGGTTTAACTTGTTACAAGGGGATGGCTCATCTTGTCAATTTGACTACATCTGGAATCAGCTAAAACCCAAGCTAGCTGGGTAGAGCTTGTGAGTTTTCTTCCTTCCTTCCTTTCTTTCCTTTTTGTTTTTCGAGATAAGGTCTCTCAGTGTAACAGCCCTAGCTGTCCTGGAACTGGCTTTACTGTGAACCAGGCTGGCCGCGAACTCAGAGATCCATCTGCCTGTGCCCCACCTCCCCAAGTCTGTGCAACACGTCTGGCTGTGAGTGATTTTCTTAATTGTATCATTTCAGGTGACAGACACACCCTAAATCTGGACCACACCTCCTGGTAGCAATCTATATAAAAGGACAAGGAAAAAGGAGGCTTTTGCTTCTTTGCCTGTTTGCCTCAGGACAGACAAATGCGCTGCACTAAACAGATGCCCTGTAGCTGCTCCCAGGAACCTTAGAAGTCTGTCTTCTGTGAAAACAACACTGCCCTCTGGAGGCGAGGCGGACCTTGTCCCCGCAGTTGGTTAGTATCCAGCTCACTCAAGATCAACTGCGCTGTTTCGTTATTTTTTTCCCAACTGCGCTCTGATGTAGTTTTTCTATTGCAAAGACACTAAAAATCACTCCAGAGACTTAACGATGGTAACAGTTTTAGACCACTTTATTGTAAGTTTTAATCATGAGTTTGTTCATAATCTTTAGTTTTTACCTACTAGGCTAAATCATGAAAATATGATTTTCTCCAGAGTTTCCGACTTTGATATAGATACCCTTAGGTCACAGCTGTATCACAGGTTCAGTAGAACATGTCCCCTGCAGGTTCAAGCAGTTTTCTTAGTCCCCAAACACTCTGTGGGGAGCCCCACTGCTCACTGCTCAAAGACTGCTGTTTGGAGACTTTTTCAGTCTCACCACTTTGTTACCTCTTTCTAAAGACACCAATACCTTCAAGGCCTGGCTCCTATCTCATTTCCATAAAGCTTTTCCTAGTCAATCCATGACAGCTTCCTCCCACCCACAATCCTGACTTCTCTTAGGACTAAGATCAGAATTCAACAGAAGGTAGACAGTAACAGTAGCAAAATTGCATGCCAGTCCTCATCATCAATTTGAAGACCAAAAATTATTTTCAGGTCTCCTATGGTATGTTCTTTTCTTTTCCTCCACACCCCTTTTCACTTTTTTTTTCCAAGACAGGGTTTCCCTGTATAGGCTTGGCTGGCCTAGAACTCTTTAGACCAAGCTTGCCTTGAACTCAAGAAATTCAGATGTCTCTGCCCCCCCAGGGCTGGGATTAAAGGTGTGCGCCACCACACCCATTCACCTATGTTTGTTTTGTGCCAGGGTTTCTTTGTAACAGCTCTGGCTGTCCTGGAACTCACTTTGTAGACCAGGCTGGCCTTGAACTCACAGAGATCCGCCTCCCTCTGCCTCCAGTGCTGGGATTACAGCATGCCTGGAGGTCTATTCTTACAAGAGCCTCTCAGTTTTAAAAAGCCTTTAATTCCAGTACTCGGGAGGCAAAAGCTTGTAAATATTTGATTTGTAAGCCAGCCTCATCTACTTAGCAAGTTCCAGAGTAGCCAAAGTAACATGATGAGTCCCTATTTCAAAACAAGAACAAAAACCCAAATTCCCTCACTTTTTGGTCGGTCCTAACTGTATGCTTTCTATTTGACCCCAGAAATAGACCACCCTCTCCAGGATCAGCAGACTACGCCTGGAAACACGAACTGGTATAAATAGCTAAAGACCCACGTGAGACCCAAAGCATGGACTTTCACATGGTAAAAACATAAATACCTTTTTGTCTTGAAGTTCAGTCATTACATTGAAGAGTTCTTCTCCCAACAGTAAGAAATCTGGGGTCTTCAGTTATAGCTCGCATCCTCATGGTTTTACTAGTTCAACGGAAGTTTCTTCCAGGCACTGTGGTTAAGATGGCTCAGTGGTTAAGACTGTATACTGCTCACATAGATGACCTAGGTTTGGTTCCTAGCACCCACACAGTGACTCATGGTGTTGCCTGTAACTATAGTTCTTGGGGTCTTATGCCCTCTTCTAGTCTTTGTTGGCTCCTACACACATGCGGTATACACAAACTCACAGAGTTTTCTTTGGGGGCTGGAGAGATGGCTCAGTGGTTAAGAGCACTGGCTGCTCTTCCAGAGGACCCAGGTTCAATTCCCAACACCCACATGGTGCCTCATTGTCTGTAACTCTAGCTCCAGGGGATCCAATGCCCTCTTTTGGCCTCCATGGTATACATATGATGCACAGATACACATTTGGGCAAAACACCCATGCATATACAATTATATTGATTTTTTTCTGTTTTTCCCGTAGTACTGTGAAAGAAATGGAAAATCAAGAGTATGTTAATATATTTAAATACCATGGCACACACCTGTAGTCAGGAAGCTGAGGCAGAAGAATCACCATGTGTTCGAAGCCAGTCTGAGCTATGGAGTAAAACTCTGTCTCAAAATTCAAAACATAAAAAAGAATAATACATAAAATACTTATCTAATTAGCAGAATCAACTTGGGGATGGATGATCTTTTTTTTAAAAAAAAAAATGTCATCTCCTAGACTAGGAATGTATCACAGATGATGAAGGGCTTGTCTACCGTGCATATGGCCCTGGGTTCAATTGGGCCTGGTAGTAGTAGCAACTTCAAGGCCAGACTGTGCTGCAAGAGATCCAGCCTGGGTCACCTCCATGACGTGTGGATTTTCCTCAGTCACTCAGCAGTTGTCTTTTAGGATAGGTAAGGAGCGCTCAAGGAATGAAAATAGGAACAGAGAAAGGCACCTTGTCGAGCAGATCAGAAAATTCCCATTTAATGTTTGTGTCATGAAAGAGGTGAACAAAGTGGGTCCTTACAGATGTGAGGAGGTGCAGCTGGTGAAGTTCACGTCCTGTGTTTTCTGTTCTGGCTGGGGAAATCCCACAAGACTTTGGAAGCTGGACTCTGAGAGCTCTGGCTCATTTTAGTTGAGGCCTCTGTGCCTTCTCAGACGGTAGCCTCCAGCTTTTATCTTACTCTGAATTAGAAGCGCATTGGCTGAGCCTGGTAGCACACACCTATAACCTGAGTGTTCAGGAGGCTGTGGTAAGAGGACGACTGCTGGGAGTTCAAGGCCAGCCCAGGTACAGCCTGTGACAACGAGCAAAAAGTGAATTGATCTCTAAGGGACATAGGATCTGCACTTGCAGCGTTTAGTATTTTCAGTGTTTCAGGCACACAGGCTAAAAAGAACACTACAAAAATCAACAAACCAAATAATGAATCTACACAAACAACAACCAAGACATTTCCTTCCCCAACCCAAAACCCGTGCTCTGAGCTGCGCTTCCTCTTCCTAGAATGCATGTACTGTCCATTATCTCCACTTTTGCAGCTTCGAGCTTTTAAAGGAGCCGTTTTCATGTTTTTCACAGGGTACTGGAGCAGCAGCTTACACCGAAAGACCAGGTACGATCGCCTCACTCTCACTCTTATTTAAGAAAGGCTTTGCTCAGCTCTTCCCTCAGTGCAGAAGAGGGCACCCGGAAGGAGACTGTCTCCCCCTCAGGGGCTCAGGTGTGTGACTGCAGGCCCTGAAGATGCCAGCTCCTCCTTCAGAAGGAAAACTGCTTCAGAGGCACTGGGACAGCTGAAGACGTGTTCTCTTTGGGTCCCCACCGTCCTTTTCCCTTGTTGGCAGATATGATACTCTTTTCTCTATTCATTTGTTTGAGATGGTCTCACTTTGTAGATTTGGCTGGCCAGAACTCAGATCTGCCTGCCTTAGAATCTGAATGCTAAGATCAAAGGTCCATATCACTACTCTCGATCCTGTGAGATGCTTCTGACCATAGCTCGACAGCCAAAATGGGCAGGAAGGGTTATCAAGAGCTGAAAGAGCCTAATTCTAGGGGTGACCCATCAGAGGTTTCCCATTAGTGCTCCGGCCAGTTGAGACCAGCTGCTTAGCTACGGCTTCTTCCAGATAGAGAGGTCACCAGAAGTCTTTCTTGGTGGCTCAGACTAGAAACAGAGTAAATTATTACATTTAATCTGTTTTAGGATACATGTTTTCTTGCATTTTGATGTCTCTGAAATGATCCCCAGTTTCACTGACATTCATCTTCCTTTCTCAGATAGTTCCTCTTGGGATAGTTTAGAACAAGGGCCAGCCCAGAACTGAAATCTCTACTTCTCCTCATGTTCTTCATCTTTCTGTAGTTTGTGGTCTGTAGTCTGTCTCTTGTGTGTATCTGTGTCTGTCTGTCCTTGTGGTCTGTCCCTAACTTATTTGACAGCACAAAACACACAGTATGGTAAAGGAATTAAGAATTTTTTAAAAGAGTTTTAGAAGAGAAGAAGTTACCTTACTGACCCCAGCTGACCCACAAACAGATGTTCTCTAACAGATGTTCTCAACCTATATCCATGTGTTGCTTCCAGTAGTTATGAGTTATTTTGCTTAAGGTTACCTTCAACCTATTGACTGCTTTCAGCAAATGATTACCACCACACACACATTATTCTGAGTCAAGGACATAGAAGAATTATAGTTTAAGATTAAAGCTATACATTTAGTTTAGGTTATAAAAAGGGTTACATAAGTATGTATACTATTGCATAGTAAGGTTAGTTGGTTGCATTGTTTTTTTAAGATTTATTTATTATGCATACAGTATTTTGCCCGCATGTATGTCTACATGCCATATATACAGTATGTATAGTATATTCTGCCAGCATGTATACCTACCAGAAGAGGGCACCAGATCTTATCGTAGATGGTTGTGAGCCGCCATGTGGTTGCTGGGAATTGAACTTGACCTCTGGAAGAGCAGCCAGCACTCTTAACATCTGAGCCATCTCTCCAGCCCTACACTGTTTTCTTAAAGCGGGATTAGAAGGCTGGATATGCAGTAGAGAAACAGATTGAGTACATAATTTTAAGTGATTTCTAGGTATATTATTAACTTGTTTGCAAGGTCTGACAAAAGTTCAGTTTCTGAAGGCAAGAGGGATTTTCAGAAAAACATATGTATTATAATCACTCCACGGGTTGGGTTATCCAGAAACTGGATTCTGAGATGGAGTGAGGAGTATAAAAGGTTTATATGAAAGAAAAAGAGAAATCCACCAGGTTGTATGAAAATCTGTGCAAGGTGGGTGTGGTGGTAATCCCAAGGTTTGGGAGGCAAAGGCAGGAGGATTATAATTCAAGGACTACAGAGCAAAGTCTTGTATTATCACCACCAACAATAAAATTGTAATGATAACCCCACCACCACCACCAAATTGAAGTCTCTGGCAGCCTGAGGTGTGTTGTTAGAGGTGCCCCACAGGCATAAGTGGTTTTGCTCGGCCTTTGGTGATCAGGGGGCTGTCTTGAGAACTGTGGCTAGTGATGAAGTAAACTTTAGTGGCTAACAGCGACAGATTTTGAGATAACTAGATTTTCCACAAGTCAAGGAGGAAGTGAACATCATCTTATATTTCATAGTGTGAAATATGCAGTAAGTGATACTTATTTTTAAAGACGGGATCTTACTATGTAGTTCTGACTACATATGTAGTTACTATGTAGTTCTGACTACATATGTAGTTACTATGTAGTTCTGACTACATATGTTACTATGTAGGCCTGGAACTCACAGAGATCCTGCCTGCCTCTACCTCCCCAGTGCTGGGTTTAAGGAAAGGCATGCACAGCATAGAAAATATTTTTTTTTGGTTACCTGATTGTAACTCTGTGCTGATTTTGACTGTGAGGACTGGAGTACGTGCCATGAGGCTGAGGTTGTCAGCCTTCAACCCATTGGCTATCCTGTGTTGTCCATCTTCCCTTGGTACAGCTTTGAGCTGTGACTTATGGGAGCAGGATCCATAGCTCCCATAATGACCACTCTAAACTAGATCTAGAGTTATGTGATCTGCTCAGCCCTTTAGTAGAGTTTCTTGTTTTGTCTCTTTTCCTTTTCCAGCCAATGATTCTTTCAATAGATGTCTAATTCCTGTTAAACACAACGTCTTTGAAATTTTAAAAAGCAATGAGAGTCAGCTATGTGACGTCCTCCAGAATAAGTTTGGGTGTAGCTCTACCCTGAGCTGCCCAGTTCCAGCAGGAAACAGCACTCCTGCTCAGCAGGTCTTCAGAAGGAGGCTGACCCCTGAGATAGAACTATCTGTCTGGAAGGATGACCTCACCAGACACGTTGTTGATGCTGTGGTGAATGCAGCCAATGAAGAGCTTTCACATGGAGGTGGCCTGGCCGGAAGCCTGGTGAGAGCTGGTGGTTTGGAAATCCAAGAAGAGAGCAGACACTACGTTGCCACCCATGGTAAAATTCCAACTGGTCAAATAGCTGTCACAAAAGCAGGAAGGCTTCCTTGCCATTGGATTATCCATGCTGTCGGACCTCGGTGGACATGGAACGACAAGACGACAGCTGTTGGGTTGCTGAGACTTGCCATTAAAAGCATTCTAGACTATGTCTGCATAGAAAACATACACATTAAGACAGTAGCAATTCCAGCCCTGAGCTCTGGAATTTTCCAGTTTCCTCTGGGCTTGTGCACACATACAATTTTAGAAACTATCCAGTTATATCTCCAAAAGAAGCAGCTGATCCGTGGTTTGAAAGAGATTCATCTGGTGAGCAACGAGGACCGCACTGTTGCTTCCTTTAAAGATGCAGCAGAATACATCCTGGGGAAGGATGAGCTGAGCCTTGGGATGAGTCCAGGAACTACCCCTTCTTCCAATGTGACACTTCAAGTTGGCCAGGGCCTGACTCTCCAGATTGTCCAAGACTTCATTGAACTGCAAACAGTAAGTCTTTGATTTTGTTTTTTTGTTTGTTTGTTTGTTTGTTTGTTTTCTGTTGTTGCTGTTCTTTGTTTTCCTAGCTGTCCTGTAAACCAGGTTGACCTCAAACTCACAGAGATCCACCTGCCTCTGCCTCCTGAGTGCTGGGATTAAAGGTGTGTATCTTTGTTTTTATTCTCTGGCACTGACAGAGTGGAATCCTGGAATGAATGAATGAATGAATGAATGATTTATTTTTAATGTATGAGTACTCTGTCTCATGTATGCCTACATACTAGATCCCATCATAGATGGTAGTGAGCCAGCTACCGTGTGGTTGTTGGGAATTGAACTTAGGACCTCTGGAAGAGCAGTCAGTGTTATTAACTACTGAGCCATCTCTCCAGCCCCAAATTAATTGTTAATTATTAAGATATTTAAAGTGGAAGACCATAGAATGTATCTTTTTGGGGTTAAGAATGTGGATGTTGGGGTTAGGCCATCTGGATTGGAGACCACCTTTATTAGTTCCTAACTCAAATACTTTCTCCCAGTCTTCAGTCCTTCTTCTGTAAAACACATTACAGTAGCACTTGACATCTGAAAGCTGGAATCAGCATCCAAGAAACACTTACAATACTGTGTGGCACATGGTTAATATGGAAATTAAAATTAGGCTATGAGTCTTAGGAATCATAAGGAGTTGGAATCCTCTTTGATCCCAAAAAACTTGAGCTCCTTCATGTGTTTGTTGTTTTTGAAACAAGAAAGTTTTTTGCCATGTCACCAAGGACTCAGTCCTCTTGCCTCAGCCTCAACCACTAAATTTTTATTTTATTTTATTTTTCTATAGAACCTTGGCTGTCCTGGAACTCACTCTAGATCAAGCAGGTCTTGAGCTCCTCCTGCCTCCACCTCCCGAGTAATGGAATTAAAAGCTACTACGCCCCAGCTGAGCACTAGAATGAATGAATTTAGTGTGTGTGTGTGGGGGGGATAGGTGTAGGTTTATGTGTGTCTGTGTGTGCTTGTGGGTGGAGTTGCACACCCATGCACAGGTGTGTAAAGGCCAGAAATCAGCCTTGATTGTCTTCCTAAAGTATTGTCTACCCTTCTTTTTTTGAGGCAAAGTTTCTCATCTGTCTGGAACTTGCCAGGTAGACTGTGCTTACTGGCCAGCTAGCCCCAGGGAACTTCTTGCCTTGGACTTCTCTGGCTTGCTGGGACTATGAGTGCTTGTTATCACACCTGGGTTTTTTGTTTTTGTTTTTTTTTTTACAGAGGTTCCTGCAAGAACTTTACTGAGTCATTCCTGCAGTTCTATTTTTAATCTTTTAAAAAATCCTTTATTTGCAAATATTTCATCAGGAAAACTAACCACTCAACATTTCTGAAGCAATCTATCAATAATAGTAAATAAAAGTAGTACTTAGGAATATGGACAGGCATGGTGGCTTACCCTTGTAATCACAGTAATTGGGAGGTAGAAGTTCATTGATCAGGAACTCAAGTTTGTCCTCAGCTCCTTGAGTTGGAAGAAGCCAGCTTTCGCTACATGAGACCTCGCTTCAGAAATCTGGGGAAAAAACAAAAACAAACAAATGAAAAGAAAGGAGGGGGCTGGAGAGATGGCTCAGTGATTAAGAACACTGGCTGCTCTTCTAGAGGACTCATGTTCAATTCCCAGCAACCACATGGTGACTCACAACTGTCTGTAACTCCAGTTTCAGGGGATCTGAAACCCTCATACCAAGGTCCATAAAATAAAATTAAATAAACTTTAATAAAAACGGAGTCCTTTGAATTTATGGGAAAAAAAAGGATGTTAATTGTGCTTAGAGCAATATATACACAGAGGTAGCAAAAAGCAAAGTAGAGGATGAAATCCTAACTGACACCCCTCTAAAAGCAGCCACAGGCTGGGTGCTCTGTGGAAGAATGCTTGTTCAGCCTGGATTGGATCACCGAACTGGGAAAAAACAGAAGCTGACCTCAGGTTGTAGTGGATGTGAACTGGCAGAGGGAAGGCTTTCAGGAAAGCTTGGGTGATGGTCAGAGAGACAGGAATACACAGACAGGAGATGCAGAGTTTGGATAGACTCAGTAAAGTTTAAAATCATATCTTTATTATTATTATTGGATCAGCGATGTGTCCTCTGGTCACAGTCAAATTATAATTGACCAATTATTAGTGAGAATAGCACTTATTACCTACCAGTCAATCAGCGTGCAATGGAGGAGACTATGAAATGAAATACCCGAGGAGTCATTAGTGTAGCAGTTTAAAACCAAAGTAGAAGCATTATTGAGTAATATCCTTTTAACAAATTTTATTGTATGCATTTGTTGTCAGCAGCATTAAGAACCTTACACTTTCTCAAGGGTGCCAGTGCCCCCAATCAGATTGTCACCATCAGATTGCTCTTTCATGGTAAAACATTTAATGTCCCTGATAAACTGAGTACTTTGTCACATGCCTGGAATCCCAACACCCAAGAGACAGAGGCAGACTTGATCCAAATATGAGGCCAGCCTGGTCTGCAAATCAAGTTGCATGCCAGCCAAGACTACTCAGTGACACCCTGTCTCAAAACAAATAACACCCATATAAGTACATAAGTTTCCTTTGATGGAACCAAAGACATTGGGGTAATTAGAATTTGGGCACTGAAGCAGCAAGAACACAACCACCTCTAGCACTGCTCCAGAGTTATGAAATATAACTGGTGTCTATGCATAGTCTGTTTCTGTAGAGCAGTGGCTCTCAGCCTTCCTAACGCTGCCACCCTTTAATATAGTATATCATGGAGTGGTAACCCTAAAAATTATTTTTGTTTCTATTTTGTAACTGTAATCTGCTACTGTTATGAATTGTAATATAAATATCTATGTTTTCCAGTGGTCTTAGGTAACCCATGAAAGGGTCATTCAAGGCCCCCTAAGGGGTCCAGAACCACAGGTTGAGAACTGCTGCTGTAGATTGATTGATTAAAGTGGTTGCCATCATTAGGTGGATGATTTTATATCCATGAAGAAAGAAAGGTACCTTTCACTAAAGACCTTTTGGTCTTGTTTACTTTCTTTAACCTTGTGCATGAGAACATAAAGACACGAGTTTCCTAAGAAACTTTATTCTTTGTTCCAAAACAGCCTGCACAGAGATAGCAGGAAGTGATGGAGGTAAGGCAGAGAATGAAACATATAAGGGTTTTTCTCAAAAATCATTGTGGACTAGGGATTTGGCTTGGTGGTCGAGTTGTTACCTAGCATGTTCAAGGTTCATTGGGTTCAATCCTTAGTACTGGGGAAAACAACACAACTGGGCATGATAGTCTGTGTATGCTGGTAATTTTAGCACTGAAGAGATGGTTCAAAATTAATTTGGAATGCACAGTGAGGCCAAGTCTAAAGAAAAAAAAACCCAAACTCAAAAAACCAATAACAACAAAAAACAAAACAAAAAGCAAGCAGGCATTCAGGTAAAAAGACAAGAGGACTGGAGGATGTAGTTCAGTTGATAGAGTACTTACCTAGCAGCCTGGAGCCTTCATTCACCCCCTAGGATCCATAAATCTGTAACCCCAACACTGGGGAGATAGAGGCAAGAAGATTGGGAATTTTGGTTTTTCGAGACAGGGTTTCTCTGTTTAGTTTTGGAGTCTGTCCTAAAACTCACCCTGTAGACCAGGGCTAGCCTTGACCTCACAGAGGCCTGCCTCTGCCTTCCGAGTGCTGGGATTAAAAGTGTGCACCATCACCCGGCGGTGAGGATCCAGGAATTTAAGGTCACCTTTAGCTGTGTTGGAAGTCTCAGGTCAGTCAGGCTGCAGGAAACACTTTCAAAAACCAAACAAGGTGTGGTGGTGCAAGCCTTTAAACTCAGAATGAAGAAGTAGAGACAAATGGATTGTTGTGAACTTGAGGTCAGTCTGGGTCTACACAGTGAGTTACAGGTCAGCCAGGGTTGCATGGTGAGACTCTGTCCCAAAAACAAAAGAAGAAATCAGGCAACATAGGAGATTGGGAGAAGGCTCAGCTGTTAAAAGGATGACTGTTCTAGTAGAAGACCTGGTTCTGTCCCCACCACTCAAAACTGGCAGTCACAGATCTGTAACTCCAGCTCCAGGAAATCTGACATCCTGCTTGGGGTTTTTCAGGTACTACACTCATGCGTACAAACCCACGCAGACATATGCACACAACTGAAAATAAAATCTTTTTTTTTATTTAATATTTTATGGGTGTATGTGTTTTGCCTGTGTGTTTGGCACAAATACATGCTTGGTGACTTCGGAGGTGAGAAGCGGCTTTGAATCCCCTAAGAGTGGAGTTATTGACAGTTGTGAGCTGCCTTGTGCTAGCTGGGAGTTGAACCCAGGTCCTCTGCAAGAGCCACAAGTACTCTTAACCACTGAGACAATTCTCCAGATTAAAAATAAAGTCTTTAAAACAAAAGAAGCCCAAGGGAATGGTCAGAAACTTGAAATAAAAAAGTATAATTCAGCAAAGGTGACCGCAATGACAATATCATCCTTATATGTACAGGACAAACGGCTTCGTAGAAAAGAAACAAACTCTCTGGAAATGTCAGTCTATTGTGAAATCAATTTTTGTGAATTTGGGATATCCAAAAAGTAATTTTCAAAACTTCTTGGGAAGTACAAATTAGTCATTTAAGAAGGAGGGATTTAACGATAACTCCTGTGTTTTCTACCCTTTTCAGACAGAGGTAATTGTCAATTCTGTATTCAAGTATGATCTTAAAAATGGACATGTGTCACAGTCAATTCTTAAGAAAGCAGGACCTGAAATGCAGCGGGAACTTGACAAGGCTAAACAGTCTTCAGATTACCCGACGGTACTGGTCACAGAAGGACTTAAACTGTCGTGTCAGTATGTGTTCCATGTGGTATGGCAACACGATAACAAACACCAGGTAAGTTCAAAATCTGTTTATGTTTGTATAATTGCAGAGTCTAGGTGGTTTGTTAAGTTTCCATTGTTTCATTATGTTTGTAAGTTATTATCAGATGATATATCCCTCTAAGAAAACACACCTATGCCTGACTGAAAGGCTGAGCAAGTATGGTTTCCCCAAGTTCTCTTAAGTTTGACTTGACATGTCTAAGTGTACATACTGCACGTGGGCACTGAAACATCAGAACCCATCTGTCTGTGCACCAGTTTGCTCCACAATACACGATGACCTGCTCTGTCTTTCCATGGTGAGATGGGATTCAGCCTCTCCATATTTCCTTTCACAGGTTAATTTCCAGCAGGAGTTGGATTCACACCATTCCAGTCTAATCTATTACCTGGTCTCTTCTGACTGTGCCTATAGTGGATATTGACTCTTAGCCAACTCCTCCCCCAAAACACAAAAATTAGAGAACAGAGGGAGGCCATTCAGATGTAGAGATGCTTAATCCCATGTGCCTTTTGGTTATTATTATTTTTTTGAGATTTTGTCTATCTTTACATAGTTGAACTCATAGACATCTACCTGCCTCTGCCTCCTGAGAGTTGGAATTAAAGATGTGTACCACCACCACCACACTGGCTGTTGTTTTTATTTTTGAGATAAAGTTTCACTGTCTAGCCCAGGCTAGCCTAGAAGTATGTAGTCCAAGCTATTCTACAACTCATGGGAATCCTCCTGTATCTACCTCCTGAGTGCTAGCATTATAAGCTATCACACCTAGCATGCGAGTGTGTATGTGCGTGTGAGTTTGCAGGGTGTGTGTGTGTGTGTGTGTGTGTGTATTCTGTACTATGTCTTGTTCTTTGTAGAGAGTTCTCTAATCCTAGATTGGCCCTCCAATCATTCTCTAAGCTTCATATTTCCAAGGTTCTCAAGGTTCTTCCACAGAAAACCTTCCTGTCTGTATGTAGTAATTCAATGTAATATTGAAAAGTTGATAGAGGGTTAGTCAACATTGTGGTCCACTCCCTTTTTTTTTTTAATCCCAACACTTGAAAGGCAGAGGCAGATGGACCTCTGTGAGTTTGAAGCTACATACTCTACATAATGAGTTTCAGGCTAGCCAGGACACCTTAGTGAGACTTTGTCCTTAAAAAAAGGAGAAAGAAAAGTTGATGGAAGTTTAAATCTGCCAGACTATTGGCACTTCTCCAGGAGAAGGCACACAGTAGACTTAAGCATGTTGAAGAAACACTCTTTGCCTCATTTAGTCTCCACCTCCTTCCTTAAACTGCCAGGGACTCTGTTGATTCTGGAGTGGCTGGTGAGTGGCACACGGATGCTTGGCTCCCTGGGGGAGGACAATCAAGGCTATATAACTGGGAGAGAGTACAGTGCTCAGATGCACTAGGTAGCGTTTAGTTGCCGCAGTTTCTTATTTTAGACTCAAAGGTTGATCTTGAACTTGTATTTATCTTACAGATATTGAAAGATGCAATGAAGAGTTGTCTGAAAAAATGCCTTCAACTATCTATAAATTCCATTTCTTTTCCTGCCCTCGGGACAGGAGGGATTGGTATGGAGAGCAGTTCAGCAGCGAGGATAATGTTAGATGAAATTTTAGCATTTACTAAAGAGCACACAAAGAAATCACTGACTATAAGGATTGTGATATTTCCAGAAGATAAGAAGACATACATGGTGAGTTAGAGTCTTGGAAATGTCTTACAGGTCATTCAGTCATCACCAATGTCTAATTAATATCTCTAATTTAAGAGGCTAGGTTAGGATCCCACATGTAGTGGGATTCTAACTCAGTAAAGTTTAATTTCTGCAAATTACTCACCCTTGATCAAATGTCACCCTGAGCAAAGGTCACCCCAATCAAAGCCATGCTCACACTTTGCTTTTCTCTTTTTCCTGTTGCATTTATTCCCTCTGTTCCTTAAAGGTAAGCAACCTATTTTTGGTATGGGATGATTCTTTCTTCCCTGTCTCCCTCCCTTCCTCCTCCTTCTTTGGGGTATTTCTTTCCCCCATTTTTGGTTTTTTGAGACAGGGTTTTTCTGTGTTACAGCTTTAGCTGTCCTGAAACAAGCTCTTGTTGTTGGTTGGCCTCGAACTCACAGAGATCTGCCTGCCTCTGCCTACTGAGTGCTGAGATTAAAGGCATGTGCCACCACCACCCAGTTCTTCATGGTATTTCTTGATGGTTTTTGTCCTAGATAGAGCTGAGTATCTATACAAGGCAATGGATGGTTATTTAGCAAATATTTCTTGTGTATTAACCTAAGCCAGGCATTTTGTCTCAGAGTAAGAAACAGCTCTCCAAAACACATTGTTGGTACCTCTCAGGTGAGGTGTTCATCACTAGTGGACAGAACTGGAAGGATACTGCCACACCTTGCCCTTTGGCTCCACATCTCAGATCAGGTGTTCATCTGTTGACGGAGGTTGCTCAATTGTTCCCACCCACCTAGACCCAAAATAATCACCCAGAAACTATATTAATAACAACACTGCTTTAGTCAATAGCTTAAGCTTTCTAGCTAGCTTTTACATCTTAAATTAACCCATTTCTATTAATCTGTGCATCATTACAAGGTCATGGCCTACGGGCAAGGTTCCAGCATCTATCTCTGGCAGCATCTATCTCTGGCAGCCGCTACACAGCATCCCACTAACTTTTCCTTCTCTCTCTCTCTCTCTCTCTCTCTCTCTATATATATATATATATATATATATATATATATATATATATATATTTCAGCCTGGCTATATTCTGTTAAGCCATTGGCTGAAAACAGCTTTTTTATTAATCAATGGCAGTAAAATATATTCATAGCATACATCACCTCCCACATCACCTCCCCTTTTCTGTCTAAATAAAAAGGAAGGTTTTAACATTAACATAGTAAAATTGCATATAACAAAACAGGTATCAAGCAATAATTACAGTTAAAATATTTACATCTACTTTATCTTTTATCATAACTATGGAAAACTATAACTATCTATTCTTCAACTCCATCAAAGACTCCAGAAGGATATAATATTACCTAACTAAACAGGAAGTACATTGTAAGCAACTTGCAAAATTCTAGAATTGACAGAGACATCTCGCTGCTTGGACAGCTACCCAAAGTTCTTCTGTAACATTGCAGGCATCCATCTTCAGCCCACTGGCCCATAGTATCCAGCAGGCTTTTCATGAAGCAGGAAATTTCAAAGACAGTTACACCTATATTGTGAGTTTGTCAGTCACTTTCTTCTGTGTCCTGCAGAATGTCTGGCAGACTCTTTCATGAAGCAGGAACCCCGAAGGACTGTCTTACCTTCTTTAAGCAACTTCAGCAGTCATTTTTCTATGGGTGCTGCAAGTCCATTCAAACAATTCAGGCAAGAGCAGATTTTTGCCCAGATGGCTAACAAGCTCCATGAGGAGCCTCTTCGATACCCATCTTCCTCTTGAAGTAGATTGTTGCTGCCAGGAGCAGACGTGTTTCATTGTCATAAGAAGTCCTAACTTCTTAAAACATTTTAAATGCCATATTCCATGTCTTTGAAAGGTTTGAAGATTATTTGTATAATTGAAATATATCTCCATATATCTAGAAAACCTAACTAATATGACTACAAGCTTGATTATTATAGGTGACTACCTATTAACCTGTATTTCTTAATTATACATTACATTTTTAAATGAGCTGCACAAACACAATACCTAAATCAAGAGCAGAAATATACATATAACAAAATTGACCTAAAATTTGTATCAATAGACCAAGATTTATACCAGTGCAAAGTATCCATCTCTATAGCATATCCCCCTTTAAATGTAAATAAACCTTTATAAACAATATTTATAAATTTGTGTGTAGTTCTCTCTAAACTGTTTCCTGCTTTTTGTTTGAACAAAGTAATTTTTTGGGGGTGTTCACAGTGGCCTTTCGGGGGGGGGGGGTCTTGTTCCATCAAACCACATTAGTCTGGAAGGCATCCACAGGTTCTATTCTTCTGTGGAAAAAGAAGCAGAACCTCTTTTCCAAGCCTACACATCTTTAGACCCAAATTTTGAAATGAAGATACCTTTAAAATATATATGTTGGTTTAGCTTAGCAGTCCGTACAATGATATATCTCTCTGTACGTAGCTCATTCAGTCAAAAAATCCAAAGAAAACACAGTAATATACATAATCCGACTCTCTGTGTATATCCCATCTTTCCGTGGCTTATTTTTATAACTTTATTACTTTTTCTACAAGTTTAATATATATCTTATTATCTTTACTCCTTTAATCCATGAGTCTGTACTCTTTAATGTTACTTTTGCTGTCTCTTAAACACCTTACTTTTTTATAACCGTCTATACTCTTTCCTCTCTCTTTCTCAAGCCTACATACATTTATCCAACACTGTGACCCATTTGTCTTTATTGCATGTGCATCTTTAATTATTTTCTAACCAGGAGTCCTTTTTTTTAATTGCTAAGTGAGTGTGGCTAGGACCAACTCCTCAGCTCTGCTTGCTTGTTATCTGCCACCCAGTCCAACATGGCAGAGGCATGTTCACTGCCTCTGAGAGCCATGCGCACTGCTCCAATTTCAGATATACAGTGGGTCTATTCACGCCATTAAGCAGTTTGTAACATGCTGCTCACAAGCCCCATTTAAATGCTCTGTAGTCAGACCTTCTGAAAGAGTCAGAGTCGTTTGTGGCAAACCAGGAAGCCACTGTTTTTAAAGAAGCAGCATGCAGCCTTTCTTGCCAAAGCTGAGTCAGGAAGACCTGTCTTAAAAGGAGCCATGGTGAGTCAGCAAACTGAGCAAGAAGCTGCGTACTCTGGTTTTTGTTTTTTGGTCTAGAATTCCTTCCCAAACTCTCACAAGTTTTAAGTGGATTTAGCTGACACATGTTGGCATGCCAATTTGTTGATGGAGGCTGTTCGATCGTTTCTGGCGGCATAGACCTGAAATAATCACTCAGAAACTATATTAATTACAACACTGCTTGGCCAATGGCTTAAGCTTCTTTCTAACTAGCTCTTACACCTTAACCCATTTTTATTAATCTGTGTATCACCAGGTGGTTGTGGCCTATCGGCAAGGTTCCAACATCTGTCTCTGGAGGATACATGGTGTCCCACTAACTCCGCCTATTCTCTATTTCTTTCAGTCTAGCTATATTCTGTTAAATCACGGGCTGAAAGCAGCTTCTTTATTAACCAATGGCAGTAAAACATATTCACAGCACTCATCACTTCCCACTTCTTTCATCACTAGTGAGCAGAGCTGGAAGAACTCTGCCATACCTTACCCTTTGGCTCCACCTCTCAGTTTTTCATCACATTTCAGTTAAAGCTTTGCCTGATAGCCATGCCCCAGCCAAACCCACCAGAAACCACTCCCCTGCCATCAGGAACTCTTGAGAGTCTCATGATCAGAGCTGCAAACATTACAAGTAGTTTATCAGAAATTCAGGATCTGGGGGGTTCACAGCTCCCAACACAGAGGGAGTTTTTCCAGGACAACCATGGCTACACAGAGAAGCCCTGTCTCCACCAACCCCTCAAAAAAAAAAAAAAAAAAAAAAGAGGATCTCTGAGTTCAAGGCCAGTGTGGTCTAAATTAAGAGTTTCAAGCCATCCAGGGCTACATAATGACACAGTGAGAACCTACCTAAACACATACACACACACTTCATTTTTGAAGTACAGATAAAGCAAAAATTTAGTCTTCTAGTCTTTATCTCATCAATATTATCATTTTTCAATAAAGTAATTATCTCCTACTGTATCAACTTTGAAGAAGAAAGGTATTGGATAAGGTAATTTTTTCTGTAGACTATCTTGTAGCAATTACCATATCTAACATATATTTATTTATATTATGAGTCAGATCCAATTCTAAGTACTTCACAATAATTAACTCATATAAAACAGTTTGGTTTGCTCATAACATTTAGAAATGATCTATATTTTCATTTGAGCTTTATTTCAGTACCTATATTAATACCTGTTGAATGGATGAATGCTTATGTTTTGCCTAAATTATACCAGGTTTTGGTTTTCTTTTCATTTTTCCCATATTCATTTCTCAGATCTTCTAATATAATGATGCTGTGACCTTTAATATTTAAGTTATTTCTTTGTTACTTCGTAACTGTAGTTTTGCTACTGTTGTGACTCATAATGTAGATATCTGATATCTCCACAGGTTGAGAACCGCTGTTGTAGTAGCTCGTAGTGCTCATGTTGTTCTCTTGGACTGTCTAAAGCCTGCTTGTGGCCTAAGGACTGTGTGAGAGTGCTGTGGTGTGTGCAGGTAGAGATTTTTATTGGAACGCTGTCCTCCCTGTTATGACCTCTTTACTCTGCTCATTTTAGGCTTTTTGTGCTGAAATGACGAAGAGGTCCAGTGCGCTGAGTCTCAGCAGTAGCAGTGGTGAGTGAGAAATTAAGAGTCCTACAAGCATTATGGTACCAGGGTGGGGGCAGGAGAATTGGGAGTTCAGGTCATTCTCATTCGATAGCAAGTTTGAGGCCATCCTGCACTACATGAAAGAAAGGTGGGGTGCCTGCCCATATATTCTGATTATAGATTCTGATTCAGTAATTCTGGTCTAGGGCCAAGCAGATCTCTTTAAGAACTGACTAGTTGATTTCACCACTGAGCTAGGTTTTGGATTCCTGGGATTGATGGATTAAACCAATCTTGAATGGTATATGCTCGTGGGATTAGTTTTGTCTCAGACTTCCACTCCTTCACTGGAATGTGAGTGGACTGGGGTGGAATGTTTAATGGCTCTGTTGTGCTGCAGAAGGGTAGCTCTGTCATGAGTCTTGGGAGTCTTAGGAACCTGTATAGATTTGTCTGTAAAGTGAGGATGATCACGATAGGTGACTATGAACCAGTGAGATGTGTAATCAGGTGAGAGCACCTGCTGCCAAGCCTGTTGGCCAGAGTTCAAGTCCGGAACCCACATGGAAGAAGGTGAAAACTGACTCTCTCACAAATTGCCCTTTGACCTCCAAATGTGTACCATAGTACATGTGACATGTAAGCACACACACAGAGAGAAAGAGAGAGCAATCATGAACTGTAATTTAAATAGATAATAGTTTGATAATTTCCAACTATCAAAAAGTGTTTTGTAAATTAAAATTACAAATCATTAAACCAGTTCCAGAAGACAAATAAAAAGGGGCACATGATCAGACTCCTCAGGTAGAGTAGAAGAGGGAACAATTCCTTCAGGCTGGGAGTGAACAAGAATGGCTGCATGGACAAGAATGATTTTAAGGTGAGCTTGGGATGGGAAGATTGCCATCGGCCAGCAGTGGAGGGAGAGGGCAGCACTTGAGATAAATAAAACCAGTAGGAGCCAACAAATACATTTTGGGAATCCACATGGAATATAAAGGAACAAGAAAGGAATGGAGTTCTAGGTAACGCTGATGCAAAAAGGAGATGAAAAAGTTCTATATGTCATCAAACTGAAGTGCAGAGACAAGGATTGTGATTAAGTCAGTAGTTCTTGAAAATATCTGTAAAGAAATTAGAAACCACAGGAAAATAATTGCCATTCACAATGTTTGATACGGATTGTCTTCGATTATCAAGGAAAGATTAAACTAGCCAGGGATAAAGAGAAGCACACTTTCATTAGGAATATTTATATAATAAGTAATTAATTGAATGCATTTTAGTTCTTAGAAAAGTTGCCTTTAGTGATTTGAACTAAATCACTAAATTTAGTTGTCTGAAGTAATTCTTCTCTCCTAATAATGATGGCTCAAGAAAGTACCACTATGTATGGTTTGTATGTCTTTCCAGAAACTAATGTAAATTCCCAAATAAGTATTTAAAACAGCAAAAAGTGTACTCCAATTAAAATTCCCTTTTCACTTCTGTTGTCTTAAACATTGGCCCTTATTTCAACTCAGCTCCTTTGCCTTCAGAGGCCAGAGATCTCTCTGGAGCTAGAGTTAGAGGTGGTTGTGAGCTGCCTGATGTGGGTGGTGGGAATTGAACTTGGATCCTCTTCACCACTGAGCCATCTTTCCAGCCCCTACTCTGTTGTTTGAGGATCACTACTGGAAAGTTGTGTAACTTTCGGGTCAGATGCACCCACCTACTAGCTTGGTCGACATGATTAACTAATCCTACAACCATGCACAAGTTACTCAACGACTCTGGGAATCTTAAGTGACTTCATTTGTACGATGAACTAAATAGTTCCTGTCTCATAGGGTTGTGTGGCTTAAATAAAATAATATATTTAAAGCTCTTAGAACAATGTCTAACAATTTGAGAGTAGTTCTCAAATTGCTTTGTCTCCCCTTAGAATATGTTTCTGTGACTCAGTCAGGTAAAGGTAAATTCTTTTCATCAACACAGTAATATTCCATTATTGAAGGGCATCAGGTTGTTTCCATTGGGCAGTTAGTTCCAATGTGAACATATAAGATGGCTTGGTGGGAAAGGTGCTTGCTACCAAGTCTGAACACCTGAAGAAATGTTCTGTCTTTCTTCTCTTTCTCAGCTCTTAAAAAAAAAAAAAAAAAACAGAATGTGGGCTTTGTAAGTTTTTGGTTTTAACTTACATAAGAATGCTTGTCCAAATTTTATGTCATAGATATTTAGGAGTTCTAGTTGCTCTATAGATTTCTCACTTGATATTGTTAAACTGACAAATTCTTGCCCAACTTGTGGGTGATGGTGCATTTCTCTAATTGCAGTCAGGATAAGCATCTTTTCACATTGGAATAAGCCATGCTTGCTTTCCTGTGAAATATTTTGCCTAACTGGCTACTGGTTTGCTATTTTTTTTTTAATGTGCATCGGTGTTTTGCCTGCATGTGTGTCTGTGTGAGGGAACCAGAGTTACAGGCAGTAACTTGTGAGCTGTCGTGAGGGTGCTGAGACTTGAACCTGGGTCCTCTGGAAGAGCAACCAGTGCTTTTAACGGCTGAGCCACTCTCCAGCCCCTTGCTACCTTTTTTAAAAGTTAAGATAATAATTAGTTCTTTGAGAATTACATACAGTACATTTGCCCTAATCCTCTCCCTAACTCTTCCCAGAGCCACCATCTATTTTATTTTTGAGACAGGCTCTCACATTGCCCAGGTTGACCTCAAAACCTTCATGTATTCATGACCCTCTTGGCTCCACCTCTCAAGTGTGGCGATTACAAGTACAGATTACCAGTTTCAACCTCAGTTTTTCCTTCTTTTTTTTCCTCAAGGTCAAGTTTCTCTGTGTGACTCTGGATGTCCTAGAATTCACTTTGTAGACCATGCTGACCTCAAACTTGGAGATTTGACTGCCCCTGCCTCCTGAGTGCTGGGATTAAAGGTGTGCGCCACCACTGTCTGGACAGTTTTTGTTTTTAAAAAATACATTTTATTTCTCGAATTCTGTAGCTTTAGGTGTTTGATTTTAAGTCTGGTAGGAGCAAGAGGCTAAGGATATGCCACTCGGCAGGTGAGAATAGGTAAACTTACTTATGAATTGACAAATCACACACAGCACAGGCTGGATACAATAAATCCGTTATCTTCTAAGCTAGCTGGTGTGTTTATAAGAGACCAGCCATGAGCTGTTCATGTAGACTTCCTTTATAGCTTTTACAGATAGGTCTTAGCTGCTGTTGGTGACAGTGGTGGTGACAGCCTCGGGGCCAACAGTGGCTGTGATGTTCTGTACTATTTAAAAACCCACCAGCCTTCTATAAATGTTTTTGATAGTCGTTTCAGTCCCGCAGCAGATCAGAGGGGAGCAGAGACATGGACTTGAAGCTGGATCCCCTGCCATCAGTCTGGTGGGTGTAAAAGTGGAAGAAATGTATGAGGCCAAAGAATGGATTGAAAGGTTGCTGACTTCCAAGGACTGCCACATCATTGAGAACAACCACATTCTCTACCTTGGGAAAAAAGAGCATGACAGATTGTCTCAGCTCCAGACAACCTCAGGTGTCTCCATCTCAGAGACTGTCAGTCCACAAAAGGCAATTCTGAAGATTAGGGGTGCCCAGGCTGACCTAATTGAAGCCGTCATACAAATTGAAGGCATGCTGTGTGAAGTTCAGGAAGAAGTGGCAAGAAAAAAGAGGAAAAGTCTTCGGGGCTTGTTAGGTGAGTAATTGCATATCAAGGTCAAAGCTCTTGCTAGGCATCATGGCATACAACTTTCAGCCCAGCACCTTTGAGGTGTATCTGTGCGAGTTCCAGGCCAGCCAGGGCTATGTACTGTGACTATATCAACATAAATAAGTAAAATTAAAAGAGGAAAAAAGAGTTTCTTAAATTCAAGTGAGTGTCCTTCTGACTAAGGGATGAAGGATAAGTCGACAAAGATCTCTGCAGAGAGAAGAGATGGAACAGAAGCAGAAAAGAGAAAACTAGTGAACCCTGATCCCCCAAAGCCAGGTGTAATCCCAGCACATGGGAGACGGAGACAGGAGGATCAGGTAGTCTCTGAAGACTACCCTCAGTTACAGAGTAAATTGGAGACCAACCTGGTCTGCATAAGACCCTCTCTCAAAACAAAAGCATCAGCCCTCCTAACAGTTGCTTCTGGTCATGAGTGTACTCATATTTGTGGAGTAACAGCCTGAGAGAGGAAAAAGAAAGCCATTCAGGTTCAGTGTTAGATCATTCACTTCTTGTGATTGGGGACATAAATATTTTTGTTTATTCTTTGAGATTTTCATACATGCATATAGTTATGTATTTTGATCATATTCAGCCTCTGGCTCCTGAGTGCTGAGATTACAGGTCTCTGCCCCTTGCCTAACCTTCTTTTGTTTTAGCTTTGAGATAAGATCTCCTACTGTAACTCAGGCTGTCCAGAAACTCACTATGTATCCCAGGTGGGCTTTGAACTCAGGACAGTCCTCCTGCCTCAGCCTCCCAAGTGCTGGGATTACAGATGTGAGCCACCATGTTCAGCTCAGGTCGTAATGCTTTGATCACTGTCAGAGTTGTTGATTGATAAATAGAAGCACATTCCACTGGATTTACTTGCGATGACATGGATTGTCTTAAGAGGTAATTACAAAGAAAGTCTAAAGTAAGACCTGCTAGAGCCATGGAGTGAAAAAACCAGAAACCAAAACACCACAAAAACCTAACATGCTCAATTGTGCAAATGGAGCATTAAATGTAGATATGTTCTATCTTATTACTTACCTTGAGTTTCATTACATTTATATATTGCTGGCAGCATTTCATTCTCTAAAATTGCTATTTTGAACTCTGTCACCAACAAAAGTACTCACTGGTATGGTGAGATATATACCCAAGTACCTCTCAGTCAGTGTGATTAAACTCATTAGAGTAACTGTGGGCACTTGGGCCTACAGAGACCCTTTGTTGAGTCCTACAGCCAACTAAGTTTTGTCTCATTTAAAATGCCACTTTGATGGCCAGCAAGATGACTCAATAGGTAAAGGCATTTGCCATCTGACCTGAGTTCAATCCCTGGTACTCATGTGGCATAAAAGAACCAGCTTCCACAAGCTGCCTTCTCTTCCATACCCATGGGGACCAGCACATACCCACATCCACACAAATAAATGTGATTTTTAAAACAAATTAAGTGGAATTACATGGGAAAGTGTAATTAATGCTCCCCTTCCCATTTTTGAAGTCTCAGGACCCAACTCACCAAGAACAAATTCATCACGCATCCATTTCACCCCATAACTTAGTGTATCATAGTTTAGAACAGCTTTAGGGCAGAAGATCAGCCACTGCAGCCCCGGGAGGCTCAGCTCAGTCACCCTTCCCAGTATGAAAATCAGGGATAGGAGTAAGGACAGAGAAAGATTTCATCAGTTCACATTGGGAAGAGAAAACAATAAAGGGTCCCAGCACCTCCCATTTCCTCTTCTGATTATTTATGTGAGTTTTAGGTTTAGTTAAAGGATGAATTGGGGACTGGTGACATGGCTCAGCAATTAAGAGCACTTGATTTTGAGTTTCAGAGGACCTGGGTTTGGTTTACAAACATTTACATGGTCACTAAAACCTATTAACTCCAGTTCTAGAGTATCTGATGCTCTCTTCTGGTCTCTGCATGCACTGCATACACACATTACACAAATAATGCATACATGCAGGCAAACACCCATGCACATAAAATGAAAATAAATCTTTAAAAAAACACTTTGAGGGTAGGCAGAGAAAGCAAGCAGTCCTTGTCATAAATTGATAATTTTTAATCATGGTCACCTATGGTGGGGGACTAACCTGGACTCCATAAGATCTGTCTCCATCATAGACAACTGTTCTAACCATGGAAGTGGCCTGTCCTGCCTGGAAGACCTTGTGGTCCCTGGACTCCAAGGTAACTAAAGGTTAAGGTACTTTCAATCTTAAAATAGGTTAAATAAACTGACACTCTTTATTGACAGATACGCCTATGCACTTAGGCCTGAAGTAAAAGAGACGTGCAGGCAAGGGTGGCAGGCTTCCGCCTTGTTTTAGATACGTGCCAGGGCCCAGTGAAGAGCAAGGGTTTCTGTTTGTTTGAAGCAGAAACAGCTCCTGGTATAGCTCTTCCTGCGTGTTCTAAACATCAGGAGCATATGCTTTCAATGGGCCCATCTTCCACATTTTTAGATTTCATTCTCTCAAGGCAGTTTTTCCTTTGTGTAGCCCTGGCTGCCCCAGAACGTGCTCTGGTCTTGAACTCAGAGATCTGTCTACCTCTGCCTCCCAAGGGCATGTGTTACCCACTGCTCAGCAAGAAATCGTTAATCAAATCTCCTAATGGTTTTGTCTTACTCATTTTTAGGACAGTGGACCGATCAGCAAGGAATACTGGATGAAATGGAGGATTTTCACACATATCTTCGTTACCCAGTACCTTTATCTCAGGAACTTGAGGACCGAAAGAGACAGTTTGAGAAGTGTGGCCTGTGGGTTGTGAAGGTATACCTAATCAAGGGAGGCTCTGGTTCACTTTGCTATTGATTGGTTCTATAGCCAAAATAAAAATTCACCTGCCAAGGACTCTCAGGCAGGTAGCTGGTCAGTCACCTGGAGCCTGAGTAAGACTGGGAGGAATTCAGGCCTGAGGGTGTAGTTGGAATCAGGAGGTAGAAATGATGTCAAGACCTACAGAGCCAGAGAATGAAGATTCATGAGCAGGTGGTCTACCTGTCACTGACCACAACAATGGAAAGCACATTAGTGCTTAGTCCACTGTGCTACGATTGTTTACCTACTTTTATCTCACAAACCATTAGCTTTAATGGGACATGTACTATGACGGCATTGTTGGTCATTTCAGTACTAGTAACTGGCACATACTTATTGCACAGTGGATCTGTTGTGTGTAGCAGGCTATACCTGCCTGGTATGTGTATGCTGTTGAAATGAAGAGGCTTCTCCAATGAAAAGTGTCTCAACAAGGCAAACTTGACTTTTAATTAGCAGGGTGTGCTACTCAGAAAGTGGAAGAGCAGGAAGACTGGTGGGTGTTCTGGGTTTCTACCTAACACAGGGGCAACTGTGTCCTCTCCCCACTGACTGGGGTCTCATCCACAGTCTCTCTCAGTTGTCTAGCTGTAAAAGAAACCATGAAAAGGAAATGAAGGGAGGGGGCTGGGGGCATGTCAGTGCCTAAACTACCTGAGCTCTGACAATCTGATGTTTCTAACATGTGGAGGCCAGAGAACCTTGGCTATTGTCCTTCCTTAGGATACTCATCTTCCACAGCTCACCTTGTCTTTTGAGACAAGGCCTGTGGTGGTTCAAGTGAGAATGGCCCTCATAGGTCCACGTGTTTGAATAATTGGTCTCTAACCAGAAGAATTTTGGAAGTGTTAGTGGGTGTGAGCTTACTGGAGAAGGTGTGTCACTGGGGGTGAACTTTGAGGTTTCAAAAGTCCACGCCAGGCTGAGTCTCTCACTCTCTCTGCCCTCTGTGTATGAATTGGGGTGTAGAGCTCTCAGCTACTGCTCTAGCTTGTGCCTGTCTGCTTCTTGCTATGATGATCATGGAATAATTCTCTAAAACTGTAAGCGAGGCCCCAGTTAAGTGTTTTCTTTTATCAGTTGCCTTGGTCATGGCGTCTCAACACAGCAATAGAACAGTGACTAAGGTGGATCTCTCATTTTTACTTGGAACTAACTAAGTAAGCTAAGTTGGCTAGCTAGTAAGCCCCAGTGCTGGAATCACAAGCTCATGACACAATGCTTGGCTTTTTAAAATGTAGATTCTAGATAGAACTCAGGTCCTCATGCTTTCAAACCAAGCACTTTACCAACAGACTGAGCCATTTCCGAAGCCTATGATTTTTGTTGTCACTTTTTTTTTTTAGATTTTTGTTGTTACTTTTTTTTTTTTTTTTGAGAGAGAGTGTCTCATATAGCCCAGGCTAGCTTCATACTTGCTGTGTAGTTAAGATTGTCCTTAATCCCTTTCTGATCCTCCTGACTCCTTTTTGGGGATTGTAGGCATACAACTAACTTTATTAAATGCACTTATTGAAAAGGGGATAGATTTTGGAGAGAAGCCAAATTAGGAGAGAGTTAAAAAGCAAAATGCATGTATTCCATGCACATAGCACATGTAGTTTCCAATTAGTATAACAGACAATTTAAAGGAACTGTTTTTCAGATCAATTCACTTCTTTTTTTTTTTTCTTATAGGTGGCACAGATACAAAATAATGTGCTCAAGAATGCCTTCCAAAAGAAGAAGAAAATGATGGAAGGGAGAACTCTGAGGGGATCTGGAAGCCAAAGGTTGTTCCAGCAGGTCCCATATCAGTTTTGCAATGTGGTATGCAGAGTCGGCTTTCACAGACTGTACACAACACCTTGTGGTAGGTATTGGTCTCATCATCAGGGCTCATCCTCAGGGCTGCCTGCATGGGCAGGGCAAGCAGACATCAGTGTATGGCTGTGGGGAGGGATCCTTTGCCACTGGCCTTTAGAGGTGAAGTCTTTTGGAAATGGTTGATATTTTATCCTTTGTTGGTGGGTGATAACTTAATGCAAGTGTGAACAGCAGGATCTGTGGTTCAGGTTTAATCTCATTCTTGTCTGTGTTCTGACTGCAGAGAGCACCTTGAAGTGTTACTGCTTTGCCCTTTTCGTCTCAACACAATTATCAGAACCAACCCCATTCCTTAGTTCGAAGCATATTTACTTACATTTAAGAAACTTGTTTTGCACCCACCCCTGGTTTGTTGTTTTTGTATTGTTTTGTTTATAAGACAGAGTCTATGTAGTCCTGGCTGACCTGTAACTCAGAGTTCTGCCTGCCTCTGCCTTCCCTCCCTAGTAACCAGGATTAATGGCATGTACCACCATGCCTAGCCCTTTCTTCCTCTATTTCCCGTGAATGAATCAGGTATATAGTCTTGCAGGTGAAGTGCCCTCTCTGTCTTTAGCTAATGATATGGGATTGGGAAAAGTGTAGTAACAGCTACCATTTTGAAAGAGGAGAGGAAAAACACAGAACAGTTACTTACCTTGTGCTGCTCAACAGGACTAGGGAGCATTGCTCAGTCAGGGAAAATTCTCCCTTACAGCCTTTTGTTCATTTCTAGGTCTGATGCCTAACCAGTCACCTAACCAGGTGACTGACCTTGCATTGCCTCACAGGCTGGAACATGCTCAGATTCTTAGCCAGATTATAATTTCCAGCAATATGATACCTTTAAATATTCAGCAAGATCGGTGGTTAAGAGCACTTGTTCCTCTAATAGAGGAACAAGGTTTGATTCCCAGGACACACATGTGGTTCACAACCATCTGTAACTCTAGTTCTGGGGGATCTGATACCCTCTTCTGAACTACTTGGGCACCAAGCGTACATGGTGCATTCATGTAGGCAAAACCACTCACACATAAAATAAAAATGAATAGATCAAAATTTTTAGAGACTGGAGATGGCACTTACTCTTCCGTAGGGCCAGGGTTGGATTCTCAGCACCTACATGGTGATGCACAATCATTTATAACTTCAGTCCCAGGTGGATTCAGTGCCCTCTTCTGGTCTCTGTGGGCACTGCATGCACATGGTGTACAAACATACACACAAGCATTCACACACACACACACACACACACACACACACACACACACACACAATTAAAAAATTCAGCAAGTAAGAACTAATTTGAGGTCAAGCTTGTGTCTTCACAGGATCCCTTTTGCAGGTCCTTGGTTATGTCACTAAAACAGTTTTCAGAATGGACTCAGCAGGGAACACAAAGACTACTTTATTGGAGTGAGAGAAAATAATAGGATAGGCCAGCAAGCTGGAAGTCTATTGGCCTGGCGGAGGGAAGTGGAAACAGAAGGAAGGCTATACTTGCTGAGCTGCAAGTCAAGAAAGACAGCAGGCAGGCTCACAGTGGGAGTCTGTGACTTCATGGGACACAGTAGGGAGAGGTAAACTTCAGAGAGAGTGAGATGTTCCAATATCAGGACAGACAGGCTTAGGATTTGATCAGCAAATAAAAAGGGCTGGGGAGTGGGAAGGTTATAGTTTCTGGGTCAGAACTAGTTACATCCCCTTCTTATTATTTTGGTTCTACCAGCTGGAAGAAAGGACTTCAAATTGAGGAAACTACTCTAAGAGCATCATGCTTAATTTTTCTACTGCTCATAGTTTAAAATCAAAACAGAAAAAAAACCTTCTCAGTCCTTCAGATTCTTAGCCTATAGTTGAAAATAAATCTCAGAAAACTAAACTATGAAAGCTAGAATTTTATGATTTTCTTATGAATTAAAAAACTATATATGCATGATTGTTTTATAGGTGTATTTGTATATTAGGAGGCTTTGTTCTAAGCTTTATCTCTTTTGTCCTTTTTGAGGCAATATTCAAAAAGAAACTCTTTCAAAGAAATATTTATTTATTTTTAATCTCAGACTATTATTATTTTGGCACTGTATCTTCTATGTTTACAATGCAAGGAGATTGCTTTGTGATGTTTTGAAAACAGAAATGCCATTTATCACTTCACTTTAAGTGTGGCAGCCTCTAGCCACACTTGACTGTGGAACATGAGATGTGGCTAATCTGAATTGAAATGTTCTATAAAGATAAATAAAATAGATACTGGATTTTGAAGCCAATAATAAATGTAAAATATCTCTCTAGTGAATTTTTAAAAGTATACAACTTTTAAAAAGATTTATGTGTAGTAGTGGTTTGCCTGCATGGATGTATATGCACCACACCATGTGTTGCCTAGTACCTCTTGAGGTCAGAAGAGAGGCTGGATTCTCTGGAACTGGAGATATCCAATGGTTGTGAGCAACCATATGTGCTCTGGGAACTTGTCTTAGGGTTTTTATAGGGTAAAGAGATACCATGACCACAGCAACTCCTGTAAAGGAAAACATTTAATTGGGGATGGCTTCCAGTTTTAGAGATTTGGTCCATTATATCATCATGGCAAGAAGCATGGTAGTATGCAGGCAGACATGGTGCTGGAAAAAGAGCTGAGAGTTTTATATCTTGATCCACAGGCAGCAGGAGACTGTTTATAGGGTGTAGCTTGAGCATATGTGACTTCAAAGCCCGCCCCCACAGTGACACTTCCTCCAACATGGCCACACATACTCCAACAAAGCTATCTCTTAATAGTGCCACTTCCTCTGGGCCAAACATTCAAACACATGAGTCTGTGGGGGCCATACCTATTTAAGCCACCACAGATCTGAACTTAGGTCCTCTGAAAAACAAGTGCTCATAACTGCTGTGCCTTCTCTCCAGCTCCTGCCCCACCCCCAGTGAATTATACTATTAACTAGACATTGAAATAATACTTTGACTCTAATTTGATAATTTGATTTCATCCTTCCTTTTTCTCTTTTCTTTCCTCTTTTTAAAACATGGCTCCTAGAAAACTTAAAAGTGGCTTATATGGCTTGTATTGCATTTCTACTTTCCAGGGCTGCTCTGGAGCCTATGTCAGCATTTGGTTCAGTATAGAAGGGATAAAGAAGGAAGGAATGGCAACACAGCTTCAAAGTTTTCGTGTGTTCACCTCTACATGATTATTTATTTTCAGTGCTGAGGAGTGACCCATGGCTTTGCGATGCTAATACATGTCACTAAGCTGCATTTAGTTCCTCTACAGTAAAGGGCGACTGAACAACAGTTTTGGAGGGTTTGGGTTTGCTCGTTTTCATTTCTGTTGTTTTGCTGTTTAAGGCAAGGTCTTCCTATAGAGTCTGTTTACCTTGATACTTACTTGAGGCTTCTGTAGCCAGCCAGTGTTTTAAGAACAGACTTCCTTACTGCTGCTAACTGCCTGGTTAATAATGACTTGAGTCAGAATTTGTCTGAATCTTACATTTTCATACTGTAAATGATAATATTATTCAAATTACAGATTAATTTAATCTAATCAATGTGAAATTGCTTTGAAAGCTAGTGACTTCTGTGTAAATTCTAATGATATATTCTAATGTCAAACTATTGTTGATGGTATCAGTGATAGTGTTGGGAGCGACTTAGCATGGAGGTAATTATGTGACGGTCTAGAGAAAAAATACATATTAGCACTCAAATAGACATAATCTATTATAACATATACATTTTTTTTGTCTTTCAGACCCAGTTTATGGAACCGGCATATATTTCACCAAAAGCCTTAAAAAACTAGCAGACAAAGTCAAGAAAACCTCTAGCACTGATAAATTAATATATGTGTTTGAGGCAGAAGTGCTCACAGGCTCTTTTTGTCAGGGTAATAATTTAAGTATAACCCCACCACCACTGAGTCCTGGGGCCTTAGATGCTCATGACAGCGTGGTCGACAATGTTTCCAACCCTGAAACCATTGTTGTTTTTAGTGGCACGCAGGCGATGCCCCAGTATTTGTGGATTTGTACACAGGATAGGACACTGTCACAGGATCAGATGTGGGAACAGGACGACTCATCAGAACTAGATATGGTCTCCTCCCCACACTCATGGAGGAAGGTCTCAAATGGCAGCCCTGTTTGACCTCTACACCATTTTAACAGACAGCAGGCTTTGGGTGAATTGAAACAGTGACTGTCGGTGACTTGAAGAGTGGCTTGAACATAACAAATTATCTGATCTGTTCAGAATGACTGGGTTACTCATGGCACCTACCACATACAAAAGATGTTTTTACGTAGTAACTCAAGCCAATTAAAATGATGATAGTATAAAATAGGACAATAGAATGATTTTAGATTTTTCTATATGATTTTATAAAGTACTTTGGAAATTCAAATAAATCACCTTTGTCTGAGTAACTGGTTCTGAGTAGTTATGTGTGAAATGAAATAATGCAAACTGGAAGGGCATCAAAAAACTGCTACTCAGTTTGGATTCAGTGATATCAAGCAATGCCACTCAGTGCTGGGTATGGCTGTGCACACCTTTAGTCTCAGCAGTGCGGTGCCGGGAGGCAGGGGCAGGGTAGGTCTCTGAGTTCAAGGCCAGCCTGGTTTGCCAGAGAAACCACCCTCCCTGCTCCAAAAAAAAAATAAAAATCCCCCCCCAAAACCAACCCAAACAAACAAAAATAAATGCCATTCATCCACCATGTGTCTTAATTCACCAAGCATTTACTGATCACTACAAGTGTTTAAGTCACTTTGTGCATGCCAAGCAAGACAACTACCCTCAAAACCCTTTATCCTGAATAATCATAAAGGCAGAGATGGGCACGTGAACAAATATAATTAGCCATAACTAAAGGAGGATAACAGAGTCTTTGAAAAAATTTAAGTGAGAACAGGGAAGCTTCCAAAAGAAACAGTAACAAGAAGGTAAAGTGGAGGCAGAGCAGGAAGTGTGTTTTAGGCAAAGAATATAGTTCTTTTAAAAACTGAGTCTACCTCTTCTGGGCCCAGACTTAACTTTAAGATACTATTTGTAACAGACTAATTTCATGTTTGACTTTTGATGTAAAAAGATGTCCCCTGAAGGCAGTTCATGAAGTATTAATGGAAAAGTCAACAGAATAAAAAATACTCAATCCTTGGGCTGGAGAGATAGTTCTGCTCTTCCAGAGGTCCTGAGTTCAATTCCCAACAACCACATGGTGGCTCACAAACATCTGTAATGAGATCTGGTGCCTTCTTCTGGCCTGCCTGCAGGCATACATGCAGACAGAACACTGTATACTTCTTAAATAAATAAATCTTTTTTAAAAAATACTCAACAGAAACACACTATTTTATTACTTGTTTTGTTGAGCGGTTTCACTGTGTAGACCAAGCAGACCTACTAACTAAGATTAGCCTGCCTCTGCCTCCTAAGTGCTGGAATTAAAGATGTGGTCCCCCACTGCCAGCCATTATTTTTATTGAATACAGATAATAGTTATCTAATTAGTTCTTTTATCATGCTTCTATTATTCCTATATTTATAGGCTTTAATGTACAGAATAAAGAGGTTGAAGCTAGAGTTTAGTTGGTAATGTACTTGCCTAGCATGAAGTCCCAGGCTTGATTTCCCAGCACCATTACATAAAATCAGGTGTGAGAGAAAGATACAGAATAATATATCCTGCAAAATTTAGACATGTAAAATAGATCCCTAAAGCAAAGGGATATAAGCATTATAAAATATTGCCACATACATGTTATTTAATTTGTCCTTCCTCTACTTATTACTAGCTGACATCTTTAACCAGTTCTGTTGCCATTTTGCTTGTATATGTAACAGAACAGAAATATGCTAGACTGTATAATTCCAAGTAAATATCTATTTTTATATTTACATGTTTGAGTACTAAATCTACATTTGTTTTTATTTCTATACCTGTTAGCTTGGCAGTTTTGTTTTCAGCTTCAACTTGCAGAGGTTTCGTTTTGAGATAGAGTCTCACTATGTAGGCCAGAGATCTTCTGGCCTCTGCCTTCCAAAGTGTTGGAATTAAAGGAGTATGCTTCCAATCCCACATATGTGCACGTATGTGGGCAACCTCAGATGTGGTTCCTCAGCAGTGCTGTACACCTTGGCTTTGTTTTCCCTTCTCCCTCTCTCCTTTGCTCCCTCCCTTTTTTGAGACAACGTTTCTCAGTGGGTTCTGGGGCATGCTGATTAGGTAACTAGGCCAAACTGGCTGATCAGCAAACCCTAGGGATCCACCTGTCTTTGCCTCCCAGAACTAGGATTCAAAGCCTGTAGCAACCTACCTGACCTTCTGTTTGGATGCTGAAGGTTGAACTGAGGTCCTTAGACCCCAGTGGCCAGTATTTTACTGACTGAGGTATCTTCTCACTTTCAACCTTCAGGATTTTTTTTTTATTCATTTGTTTTAACATGGTGTCCAGCTGGGTGGTGATGGCACACACCTATAATCCCAGCACTTGGGAGGCAGAAGCAGGCGGAACTCAGTGAGGTCGAGGCCAGTCTGTCTACAAAGCTGGTTTCAGAACAGTCAGGGCAAAGAGAGAAAACCTGTCTCGAAAAACCAAAAATAAATGAATAAATAAAATTGTATCTAGGCGGTGGTAGCACATACCTTTAATCCCAGCACTCAGGAGGCTGAGGCAGGCAGATCTGTGTGAGTTCAAGGCCAGTCTGTTCTACAGAGCAAGTTCCAGAACAGGCAGGGCCTGTCTCAAAAAACAAAACAAACAAATAAATGTATCACAGATATCTGGTCAGTTGGGTTTAAACTTCCATGAAACAAAGTCAAAAGTAACAAATATATAAAATGAAAATAGTTTACAAATAGATGAAAATAGCTGAAAGATAAGTGTTTATAAACTTATGTTCCAATTATTAGCAAATATGCATAGAAATGGAATCTTATAAACTGTTTGTAGACTATAACTTGGAGAAATAACCAAGCAATGCCCAGTGTATTAATTTAATTTGCAAATGATAGGTAATGAGTTACCACAAACTTAGTGGTTTAACACCCATTTATTATCTTAGTTTCTTTTGGTCAGAGAGTGTTCACAGCTTACCTGGATCCTCTGTTCAGGGCCTATCAAAGTAGCAATAAAATACATGCTCCTCACGTATGAAGGCCCAAGTCCGGAAGGGTCTGCTTTCAAGATCACTCAGGCTGTTAGCAGAGTTCATTTCCTGTAATTCTTACTGCTAGCTAAAGGCTATTCAAGTCCTACAGGCCATCCATAGACCCAACCAGGTGTGTTTTTTTTAATAACTTATTTACTTTTGATATTATATGCATTGGTGTTTTGCCTGTAAATAGCTGTGTAAGGCCTTGGAACTGCAGTTACAGACAGTTGTGAGTTGCCATGTCTGTGCTGGGAATTGAATCTGGGTCCTCTAGAAGAATAGCCAGTGTTCTTAACCATTGAGCTATCTCTTCAGGCCCAACCAGGTCTTCTATAGGCAAGTGACAACAAATTGCTTTTTTAAGGCTAGCATGAATTTTTAGTTTCATAATACACAAAGTATTACAAAATGAAATGTTATCACAGTAAGCCTTCTATAATCCTAGATCTGTTGTCTAGGAATTAGTAAGGAGTCCTATAAATATTCAAGGGGTGGGGATTATACAGAGCAAGGCCAAGAATCAGAGATCACGGAGATTACTTTAGAATTCTGCCTACCACATCTAATGATATTAAAGATGTAATGTCCTGGGGCTGGAGAGATGACTCAGTGGTTAAAGGCACTTGCTGCTCTTACAGAGAACCTGGGCTTAGTATCCAGAACATGTGAACCCCCACACGGCAGTAATAACTGTTGGTAATTGCAGTTTCGGGGATCTGGTACCCATCTTCTATACAGAAGATGCACAATATGGCGTACATACATACACACAGGCAAAATAATCTTAAATATACATTTTAAATTAAAAAGGCAGTTTACTTGTACATAGTATATACACTAGTATATATACAAGATTATTCATAGGCTGAGCGTGGTAGTACATGCCTTTAATTCCAGCACCCAGGAGGCAGAGGCAGGTAGAGCTTTGTGAGTTCAAGCAACAGCTAAGACACTGAGCAGAGCTTTGGTTATCTCATGGGGTTGAGAAGGCCCTGCGAAGAGAAGAGACCCTAGTGGATACCTGTGACTCTTAAGGATCTACCTAGGACTAAGGGTGGATTAGGGAATAAACCAGCCTCCATGAAGACTACTCTGACTGAATAATGAGTCTTAGCTCCTGGTAATGATCAGACATCACCTCAGCTACAGTCAGAAATACCTGCTGGTCTTAATTAGGGTTTCTATAGTTACAGTGGAACGCCATGACCAAAGGGCAAATTGGGGAGGAAAGGGTTTATTTGGCTTATACTTCCACATCTAAGTGCATCACTGAAGGAAGCCAGGACAGAAACCCCCACCAGGGCATGAACCTAGGTGTTAGTAATCAGGCATCTCTGTACTGGCCTGCCTTGGGAGTTCTGACAGGCTGCAGCCACTAAGAGCACCTCCTGTGCACATTCACTACGTTCCCTTTTAAAGGGCACTGCCCACCTCCCATCTCTTTCTCCCTCCCCCTCCACTCACTCTGCCTCTCCTCTTCTGCTTCTGTCCCCAGAGGCTGGGCTCCCCACTTTCCTTCCCTCTTTTTACATTCCCTTTCTTCTAATAAAATCTTTTCCATATGAACTTGCTTCTTTCTCTGCAGTGCTTTTTTTTTTCTTTTTTTTTCTTTTTATTACAACAGTAGGGGCAGAGGCCATGGAAGAGTGCTATTTACTGGTTTGTTCAACCTGCTTTCTTTCTTTTGCTTTATTTCCTTTTTGTTTTTTGTTTGTTTTTTGAGATAGGGTTTCTCTGTGTAGCTCTGGCTGTCCTGGAACTCGCTTTGTAGTCCAGGCTGGCCTCAAACTCACAAAGATCCTAGAGATCCACCTGCTTCTGCCTCCAGAGTGCTGGGGAAAAGGTGCAACACACACCCGTCTTCAATCTGCTTTCTTACAGGACCTGGGACCATCAGCCCTGGGATGGCACCACCCACAATGGACCAGGCCCTCCCCCATCAATCACTAATTAAGAAAATACCCTACAGTTGGATCTTATGGAGGCTCAATTTTCTCAGTTCAGATGACTCTAGCTTGTATCAAATTGACATAAAACTAGCCAGCACACTGGCCCTAAGTCTCTCTCATAGAACATTTTCTTTTTCCCCAACTGCCTTAGTCCAACTTAGTTCTAATTGTAATAAACACACTGTTAGTGGAGAAGGGGATACTGATGCAGAAGGGAGTCAGAAGAAAGGGAAAGAAGGACCGCGGGAGGGAGGAGGTTGTTCTACTTTGCTCTATTGCTTGAATAGCATTAAACAAGGCAACTTGGAGGCAGGCATTCT